TTCCCTACTGCTAGGATTGCACAGGCTACAGCCAAGGAGCACAGAGAGCTGCTACTGCCACTCGGTCCTGAGTTTAGCATTGAGCAGCTTTATGAACTGGGGCGGGGGGAGGTAATTCGGAACGCTGTTACTCTGAAAGCCTCCTGTCAAGAGGCCAACTTCTTTTTTTTCCCTTCCTGTCCATGAGGCTTTTCCATTCAAAGAGCCATTGCCAAGTTACTGCCCTCTCATGATTCATGTACTCTCAAAGATCAGAGGCCTAGGAGGCCTAACACCTAGGAGGAGTCAGTCAAACATTTGAGAGGAAAAGCTAGGGATATATCCACCCAGAGAGCAAAACTGCAGAACGCCACCTCCAATTGTAATCTGTGTGCTCCTTGGCCATCAGACAACTGTCTTGACCGGGTAAGAGGCCTGTGAGTACAGACAGTGTATTGATAAATGCTATCTCTTTCCAAGTTTACCAATAGTATCAAACAAATAATAACAATAATAGCAGTATCAAAGCCCAAGAGGAGCTCATCAGCAGCTGGCTTAAGCAGATAAAGACACTGGTTAGTCAAAGTTATTTTAAGCCATTTAATGCTTCTGGATACCTCTTTCGTCACTGTTGGTTACTGAGAATCTTGTCCCTTGATGATTCACTCGTTACACTCTAGTGCACAAGTCATTTCAAACAGCCACCAGAAAAGGTACTATGATATATGGAATACATTGTGCTGAATCTCTGAATAGCTCTGACAGAAGCAAGAAAACAGTTGTACAAAGACAGTTTCAGTTTATCCAGAAGTACATTTGTACATATGCATACATGTATGTATGTGTATATTCATCTGCATTAAAATATACTTACAGCTCTACATATGCCATCACATCGATTAAAAACAAAACAAAACAAAAACGAAAAACAAACCCAAAAAACATTAATAGATCTGATTGTTGTAAAACCCAAGGCAAATGATGGTAGTTTATCAACTAAGAATTTAACTCCCGTCTTGATTCAGAAACCACAGAGGGAAAGAAGGAAAGAAAACCCACCCAAAATCCCTAACACATCATTTTGGCTGGCTGAACATGAAGGCAATTTTTTCTCACCATCTACCAAAAAGTGCAAAGATAAGTCACATGAAAAATTGACCTGTGTTGTCACCTCTCCCTCTGCTATCTTTCTGCTCAAATACACTGTATACAAATGATTGCCCTCAAGGGTGCAATTTCATTTTGCTCATTTCAGAATTAGCACCATGGATAGCTATTATGGCAAGGCCAATTTTCCCTGCAAGAATTCAGAAAGCCTGCGGTCTAGAAGTTTTGTCTTCAGTCGGGTTCTTAAATTTGCAACTGCACAAAAAATAGACAAATGCAAAGTAAATAGAGAGAAAAAAATTCAGTGGACAGAAAGGTTGGTAGGCAGATACTAGCCAGCAAACAGGCATAGGCAGAAAGAAGAGGGAGGGAGGGAGGGGAGAGCAAGAGAAACATTTTAAAAAAAGAAAGCGGCAAGGAAGAATAAAAGTGCATTTGTATTACAATATTACAAATCCTTTGATTGCTCTAATTACACCTGAAGAAAAACAAAACCTACCTGCTGGTACCAAGCGCATGAATAATTACCTGGAAAGGAAGGAAGACAGCAAAGCTACACGCAACCTAAACAATCCTAAGTTATGGGCAGGTTCTTTGGGAAGCAGGAAAGCATACCATTTCTGTGGTATGCTTTGTTCCCTCTTGTATTTCAAGTGAGCTGAAATGCCTTTTCTTTTCTTTCTTTGTTCCCTAGTCTTGACCCATACTGAGCCTACCTCAGACTGTCCTACTGTTACACTTTCAGTTTAAGCTGGCTCATTCTACAGAGTATTTGGCGAGAGTGCCTCCTAGGAAAGTGCAAAATGATTCACAGAAAATAGATACTATTTTCCTTCGGAAAGAGGAGTCATGCAGTAGGAGAAGGAGATGGCCTTCAGATGAAGAGCAAAATCTAAGACTTCAGTAGTCCTTAAAAATGTAGCAGTGCTCTTCCAAAGAGAAGGGGTTTTAGCCCCAGTTTCTTAGCTTAATTCTCTGGTTGTAAGTTGCTTCACAATCATTCCTCAGAAAAGGTACCATGCTGCATTAAAGAAAGATGATAGCATTCTTTTTTTTTATTTCTTCTTCTTTCCCAGACTGTCCCATAGTCCTATAGAATTTTCTTTTCTTGGAATAGCAAGTGAAACTAAATGTCAGGCTTGGAATGTATTAAAACGAATCAAACCCCCCAAACCCACCACCTAACTAGCCAACGATATAAGGAAGACGACAATATGGTTTGATCAGCTGCAAATACAGTAGACAGGTGGGTTACTGCGCCATCTCTGGAATTACAGGAAGCAAATAAGCCAAAGTTGACGGATCAAAGATCAAATCTTGTCTGGATAAGTCCTTTATGTCCAATATAAAGGAAATGAACAATTCTGAAAATATAATCAGTGTGTGGCAAGGAAAACAGAAGGGAATCAGGGTGGGTAGAGTCCCTGAAATATTAACCATACAGAGATAATTTCAGATGATGAAGTATTAATCATAGTTTCATCCATTTTGCTGACCAAACCGAAAAGAAAAAAAAAAAAATCAATTCCATCAGAAAGGTACAAATACGAACTAGCAAAGGTCCAACCTTTTCCATCCTGAAGTGATGTCCTTGCTGATCCACAGGAATGAAAAGCTTTGCTTGTAATTAATGAAGGGGTCAAAAGGAGATCTTGATTTTATTTCCCGGCATGACAGAACAACTCTGCTATCAGTCACTTGACGTTTGAAATGGGCTAAATAAAGCAAATTATGGACATTTAACAAAATAAACAAACATGTTCATTACATAGCAGGCAAGGAGCAAGAAAAGACTAAGGAAGAAAGCCCCTTACATTTATTTTATCTCTAGAAATAAAAGCTTTTTAGAGTGCAGAAATGCAATTGCTACATGTACCATGATGGATTAGCTCTGGCAAGCTGAAATAAATAGCTATTCATCTTATTGCCCATGTCAGCACGGGGTATACTGTGTATAGAAGATGAAAAGCCCACAGACCCTAACTGGGGCCAAACATGAGAAACGTTTGCAGAACGGCTTGGGTACCAGAGCTAACTCTGAGTGGCCTTTTGGAGCCTCAAATCTCTTCTATTCAAATCAGCCATTCTGCGTTACTTCTCCCTCTGCACTGATAATCACATAGCAAAGTATGGCCACAATCATCTTACCCCAGAAGAACTGAATATTTTCTCTTCACTCAAAGCATTTTAGGAGGTGTACTGACAAAAAACCCTTTGTCCACTAATGAAATATAGCCACATCCACACAAAGACCACCAGCATTTCACTCTACAGTACAGGCCTAGCTTTTACATTCTCTTCTAAAAATGAACACAAGCAGAAACCTCCTTGAAATACCTAACTACAGTACCCAAGTCTTCTGTCACATACTGAACTTTTGATTCCAGGATGCTTTCCTTTTGGAGGCTGAGAGCCCTGAGCAATCCTTTACAGGGCTCATTTTCATCTTCATTTGGAGATGAAAAGGCTTAAGAAGAGCCAGATTTCTGTAACTCATTCCAGGGACTTTAAAAGATTTCAGGGGAAACATTATCAGCAGTAGTGAAGCAGGTACATGAAAGAAGAGATTCAGCTGAACAGTAAGTTGAGAGCAGGGATACTGAGCAACCCAAACGTAACGCACACATTTCTCTCTGGACCACTGGGAGTGATCTGCTATACACCAAGCCAGACGCTCACTTCCACTTTACTGACAACTTGGGAGTGCAGCAAACATCCGCTCCAGTCTTCCTCCATGAACTCCATTAAAGGCCTTCAGGACAGAACTGAGGAGTAGGTACTCTGAAAAAAAACCAATCTCAGACTGGCTTTTATTGGTTAGGTGAAGGAAATTCAGTGATTTTCAGCCGGACAGTGAATATAATTTTGGTGGAGTCTCTATAGGCAGAAGGTTATTAACATCTGAGCAAGTCTGATTCCAAACAGCATATCTCCACCCACCTGAAACAGATGAGAATTGCATTTGCCTCAGGGTATTCATTCTGCACTGGCTTAAATGGGTGAAAGCATATGCCTCCCTTCCTCACCAACGAGTGTTTGTTAAAAATTTCTCTTTCCTAAATTCCCTGGCTGCAGCACCAATGCAGCAGGCCCATCCTCCTTTTCTCCACCCTATGAGACAAACAGAAGGAGCTCAGATGCTGCTGTGCAGGGCTGTGGAAAGTTGTAGGTACTTCAGAAAGAGAAATCCTTCCTCCCTAAGGGTATAAGAGCACTACCAGGCTCAACCAGGAAGCAGCAAAAAGACCCTTTTCGACATGCACAGCTATCAGAGAAAGGAGAGCACTCTATCTACAGAGAATACTGGAAATAAAAAATAGCAGAGAGGGTTCCACAAACTTCATGCGCTTAAAAAACAGAAGTCTGCTTCCCGTGTCTTTCAGTTCTTGCTTTGCTATAGGCCCTGGAGAAGGTGTTGAAGCCCTACAGCCACGGATGCTTCAGCAGCTCTCTACAGCAAAAGGAACCCTCAGCCCACATCTCACCACTCCAGTCTCCTGCCAATCAAAATCCAACAATCCCACAATGACAAAATACTTGGACATTGCCCTAATATCCTCCTAATATCCTCCTGTTATCCTCCTCTTCCTCTGAAAAGAGGCCTTCAAATCAAGGTGGCCCAAAAGAGAATGCATGGGAAAGATGTAAGAAGAGGCTGTTTACATGTAGAAACGCT